ATATCGAGGTACAAAGCGAGATCATCCACCGGATTGCTCTAGAATCCAAATCTAATGAAGAACACCAAGAGAACTCGTGGTGGATACTCTTTATGATAAAACTAACCTAAATATTTCGGAACATCCCTAACAAAAGGCTACAAACAAGTATATATAGGCTTAGATTCTTCTAGGGTTCACTTCGGGCAAAACGGTCTTTTTACGTCAAATCCTCTCCAAGTCGGTTTGGAAATGTCGGCCAAGTAACACGACCGGTATTGGGTCCAAATTGCCTTGATTTGTGCCAGCATCAGCCTGGAATATCGGTCCACGAGGTGGTCCAGTACTTGGGTCGATTCTGCACTTGCTTCRCTTCTGAGGCAGCTTGACGTGTCTTCAGTAAATCTAGTGTATCTTCCTGCTCACAGCTCCAATTGAGATGATTCAAACTTCATTGTAAAGATGACTCAAAGATATATCTTYAAACYAAKKTTCGTCTAATTCCAAATTGATTTGRTCCTCCGTTCACTGCTGAACTTMTGGCRTATGCATTCTGTCYAATTTGGTAGAATGTTGATTCTTGTGAATTCTTGGTTCTTGATGGCATCTTTGGCTTGYATAAGTTKMTGTGRCTTKGTTTACACCTATTTGGGCTCTTTTAGAKCTTTTTTGCTTGATTTCCCTGAAAAGACTCTAAAACTACAAATACGAGAAAAACTACCTTTAAAGGTATAAAACCGTAGATAAATGCTTAGAAAATATAGTAAAATAGATAGTAATATAGGTAAAATATGAGACATATCAAGAGACCAGCCAGCAGACAGCTAGAGTGCTACGCGCCGACAACAACAGTGTCCCACGCGCTTGACACCTTTGTCCAAAGGGCAAGTCCACCATCTCCCTAATGATGACTTGTGCAGCTTCTACCTTCTGTTCAGCAGAGTTCCCAACTGCTTCCTGCAGACTTCCCATCTGCTCAACTGTTGTAACCCACTCAGCTCTTGTTGGGCTCGAGATGCCAGCTTACCAGGTGACTTTTTTTCACTAGCTACAAGCTTCCTTGCTCAAGCTGAGTAACACAGAACATAACCAATTTCTCAGGTTCTTTCAGTCTCCCCCTTTTTACCTGAGTTTGTCAATCCAAGCATGCATCTGCAAGCAAAGACCAAGCACGCATGACACAACAACATAGATAATACGTATCCAAGTATCCAACAATTCTCACAATTATCACACCAAAAACATCATCATAAACTGAACTAGATAGGTTTAAGTAGCACACAACATCATACAAACCCAAAAGCAACGCCAAGTTCAAGCATTTTCAAATGCTATTACAACAAACGAAAGCACACAAATCCTAAAAGTTCTTGAAAGAAACAGAAAACACACAAATGGTTCCAACACACAGGGTTCCACATTATCAGAATGCCGCACCATCACCATCAACCTCCTCTGTCTCCTCATCCTTGTTCTAGGCCTCCAGTTCCACGTTGGAACTACCAGCATCATATGCTCCCCCTGCTTGGATGCACACACAGGTAAAAACAACTGCAAGCAATAGATAAAATAGTCTAAAGCAGAGACTTGAAACACATACTTGAAACCTTGAGACGGATCGAAGCAGGGTTGCCAGATTATCATGATCAGAGAGGAGAAACTTCTTGGTACTGGAGAAAGGAACACCCCGCAGGTACAGAGACGAGCTCTTCTTGTCAAACACAAAATTCACTAGAGATGCTGAGGTGTGA